GTGTGTGTGTGTGTGTGTGTGTGTGTGTGTGTGTGTGTGTGTGTGTGTGTGTGTGTGCACATTTAACACTCAGAGATTGTTTGACAGTGTGCTCAATCCAACAGCAATGAAAAAGAAGAAAAGAAAAGAAAGAGCAGACACACGGACAGATTTTTGTGCTCATATATGATATTTGACCAACAGAAGAGTTACAATCCTTGCGAATATGATAATATATTTATTACATTATTCCTTTTCGAAAAATGTCTGCCTTAGGATTAAAGTGAAGTATACCCTCCCCCTAATCTAACGTGCTTTAACTTATGTGTGCAAAAACCAGTCTCTGTGAAATAGAAAAATAGGGGGAGGGGGGGGGGGGGTCACATCGGAGTTTCAAGTATACAGTAGTCCTTGACCTGTAGTCTTTTTGATTTGCATATAATTAGTGAGGGGGTATTACATTTTTACCCGCTTTTATACATACCATTATAAAATAATCCTCTCGAAAAAAACAAACATTCAAAAACTTCTTTATGTTTTTTCTCTTACCTTCTCTCTATCAGCCCATGAACAGATAACATGTACGAAGCTGGAAAACCGGTTCAAATCAGTACGAGATCAATGTAAGAGCTTTTGTGGTGATGTTCTTTTTTCATGTGATTGGTTTAGGTTTATAGTAGGCGTAGCGTATCCTGGGATTAAGATCTCAGATGTTTAGTTGATACCCATCACAAGTATAAATAAATGTTGAAATTGATCTACACAATACGTACTCATCCACTCCATAATATGAATATCACGGTGAATTTGTCTTTCTTTAGAGTTTGACAGATACATTCGAACTTGAAACAGTCTGAACAATTTTTTTTAAAGAACTGATTATGTATCCAGATACGAGATAATATTTTGTGAGTCTCTTTTTATGTATTTGAGTAAAATTGTCACCACTGCAAGACAATGCAAGCTGTTAAAGACCATAGCATGCTAGGGATAAAGATAATATTTCAAGTGGAAATGCATACGGATTTTTGCTTGGAGAAAGGGGATTTGATTGGCAGAGAGAAATAAAATTTCGATAGTACTTACAGGCATAGCTGTCATGAATGAGACGGTATAATGATTGCTTTCAAGTTTGTCCTTTTGGTGAACCTAGATGTTGCTCGATTGTATTGGTTTTTTGGGGGAGAGGGGGATGATGAGGTTGTTTGTTTGTTTGTTTGTTTGTTTGTCTGTTTGTCTATTGTTGTTTTTTTGCCTTCTGTATGCAATTGCAAAGCGTGCCCCATCAAAGATGCCGGTGATCGATTTGATTTCGGTTCGGAGAGGGAATCGATATGAAAAATTAATCTTTCATTTTCGAAAGATTTCCATTGTGCAGTGCAATGAGTGACGTTCGTAGAGTTACGGTATGGAATTCTACGTTGCTTGAGACCAGTTTGCTTTGAGATCCCGCAGGTTCTTTAACTGGCTGTAAATGGGGATAGCATTGTAGCGTAGGAAACCTTAAGCATGACCAATCAATACGAATACAAAAGAAATAATCTTGTTTTTCTTGAACTCGTCTGATATTGCCAGTTTTATCCCTTGCAATCCAACCAAATACATCTCAGGTTTTCAAAGCTTCTCTTACGCTTCTCATCATACTACTTAATTGTTTTATCTTTTTCACACATTCAACTCATACCAGCCGATTCAGTCGGGTCTAATGAAATTTCTACCGTGGTCATTTTGTAGTCTGGTGTTTTAGGGGAAGTAGTATGTTTGGACAATAGCTATCCGGTGGTAAAATTTGCTTTATGTTTAGAAGTCCACTGTGCTCAAAATTCAAAACAATGAATGCGTGGGAACAGTTTGGGAAACACTCTGTATGACGAACAATCAATCTTCAACTCTATTACACAAACATGGGAAAACCCGCGGTGGGGAAAATGCAGTCGCCGCCAATGATGGAATCCAACGTGATAGTTTCGTAGACTAGTAGTTAGTCTCTTGTCGCCTAAAGGTGGGTGGGTGGAGGGCGCCACTGGTTGGTCTACTCCTCTTCTTTCCCTCGACTGCTTTTTAATTTTTTTTAAATGTAGGTGACTTTTCGCTCCCATCGACACAATTTAGATCTCTAAGGTTATCTGTCTTTCTAAATTGTTACATGCACTAAATGGCTGTTGTTGTGGTGACATGTTTCTTTTTTATTCAAATAGGAATCCGCATCACATCATAAGTGGATCCAGACAAAGTTGTTTCCTTTGTGCTTTCGATTAAAAAATAACCAACATCTTGAATAGCTGGGGCTCAGGTGTCAAGCTCAAGGCCCCCGCGGGCCGCATTTCCGCGGCGAACAACTATATCCGGCCCGCGAGAGAATTCTAGTCCATTTTCAATTCTCCATAATACAGAGATTTAGTCCAAACTTTAACAAACTTGTTGTGCAAGAAAATTATCAAAATATCAACTCCGGCAATACTGGCGTTAGATCAAAAATTGGTAACCTTGCTTTGTTAATATCTTGACATGTATTCGTCAGTTTTATATTCATATGATTGTTAAAAGACGGCTTGGTTTCCCACTGCTCATTGAGTTTTTTTTCCTTTCAGCTAGCAATCTTAAGTGCAATTAATTAAGTCTTACCCCTGACTTCGGATTTTCAGGAAAGACTGACTTGTCTTCTATATGAAATCAAGGGATCAAAATCTGACGACATAGTTTCGTGTCAACGTGTGAAGGGTCCTATGACCTATACAGTTTTTTTCTTATTTTTTTCACTAATTTGTATTTCAACATTTCTTCCATCAAAGACTAATCAATGTTACTGTTTTTTTGGTCTCCAGTAAACAGGGCTATGGAAATACCGCTGTGGCCGATATTTTTGACAGCAGTCATTATGTTCATCGTCACTGTGGCCATAGCATTATAGTGAGTACATATTCGATTTCAGTATCATCATCATCATCATCATCATCATCATTATCATCATCTTCATCATCATCATCATCATCATCATCATCCTCATCATTATCGTCAGCAGCACCACCACCAGCAGCAGCAGAAGCACCATCACCACCAGCAGCAGCAGCAGCAGCAGAAGCACCACCACCACCAGCAGCAGCACCAACAGCAGCGGTATTAACATCATCTTGATCATCATTAGCATAATAAGTAAACTTGAACTTGGAAGTTAGCAACACAAACAAAGAACAGCTGTAGATTGACTGAGTGCCACCTGTTCCTACAACAGTAGCAACGTATTATCAATTTACAACAGCAGATTTTCTCAGGCACTCAGATAATTTTAGCCTAGTTTGGAAGATGATATTAATATTATGCTCTTCGCCTGTGTCAAAACTTTTTGTAAGTTAACCTGTCAATAACAGCAGGCAATCTTTGATGATCTTGACTATGTGCAGTTTCAGACATTTATAGATCAGCAGCAAAAGAAACAAAAGCAATTTCGAATTTATGCAGCTGAATATACTTTTGAGCAGCTTTTAAGTCGTTCTTTTTTCTTTCTTTCTTTCTTTCTTTCTTTCTTTCCAGCGAGCTGTGGAAATTTTGGCAAGAGGAGTCCTATATTGAACAATGGGAGCGAGGTCATACCGAACTCTCCGTGCAATTCAAAAATAGAAAATCTCCACCACTTCAAAACTCAAGCGCAACGTCTAAAAGAAAGTCTAGTAGTACACCGTCTAAAAGGAAGTCTAGTACACTGTCTAAAGGGAAATCTAGTGCACCGTCTAAAGGGAAATCTAGTGTACCGTCTAAAGGGAAATCTAGTGTACCGTCTAAAGGGAAATCTAGTACAGATTGGAAGATGAAATCAGCAATCTCCAGTAGAAACCACACTAACACTCTTCGTCAGCAAAGTAAAGAGAAAAATCAGTGAGGTTCCATAATATCCAGGCGGCATTTGTGCGACCATTGCGAGTTTTTAAAAGTTTTTTTTCGTTTTCTTTCGTCATTTCTGTTCTGTAACTTTCGCTCTGCACCCAGCTATTGCCAGGAATGGTGAAATCTACTTTTGCAATGATGTGGGATAGTGAGGTGTGGAGCTCACAACCGATTATCAGATGAACGTAAGGTTGGCTTTAGAAAAGGCTTGCTTACATTACAGTCACCTTTTGTTTAAAGATGCTCGAAGTGAGCGTTAATGACAATGACGAACAAACAGATACCAACTGGCAAGCAATACTACCTTTGTCATTGTGGAGTCTCCTAGTTCATAGTTATTAACGATCATTCCAATTTGTCAACAGGAAAATAATGGACTGCTCATTGCTTCACTTGGCTGTTTCAAATGCATACAGTGTCGGCTACCTTGTCCCTCAATTTGTTGGTCTGATGATTTATTTGATTGAGAAAATGTACTCAAAGCAGGAAGGCGTTCGTTGAGGGGAAGCCCTGGCATTCTGGGTAGTATCTCCAACTTTCACTTAAAAAGAATTAAACATCGGAATTATAATACTCCGTTGCTAGAAAAGACATGTCCAGTCTTAGTGCGTCCGGGGTCTCGATTTCAGCCATGAACGAAGTGTCAAAGATGGTGGATCAAAATGTGTCGTACTTTTCTCTGAATAAAAAGAGTAGAGTGGAATCCCTGTTCTTCTTACACTGACCATCTTGGAGATAACTATCTTACCATGGCATCAGATAATATGTTCCCCTTAAGCAAGAAGAAGAAGAAGAAGAAGAAGAAGAAGAAGAAGGAGGAGAAGAAGAAGAAGAAGAAGAAGAAGAAGAAGAAGAAGAAGAAGAAGAAGAAGAAA